CTTGTGAGAGTCTAGAGAGCACGTGCTGATTGTACTAACTCAGTCTCATAAAAACAAATAATACCATTATTGTAAAAATAAAACGATAACAAGTAAGATGTGTATAAATGTCCAAAAAGGTGAAGGGGGCAGAAAAGGGGGAAGGAGAAAGGGAGCAGAAAAAAGGGAAGGGTGGAAATAACTAGGAAAGCAGAGATTAGTGGGCAGATGGGGGAGTGCATCAAAAAATAGGACAGATTCAATGGGAACTCAAAAAGATGCAGTAATAACTGCCATAGATCACTAAGAAATAATTCTATCAGATACAATTCATATGAATGCATGAAATACAATGTAAATGTATAAAGCACAAGGTACATAAATGAAACACAATGTATACAAATTATTGTATGCAAACCAATTGCTGTCTCCATACCTTTTCAACATGTATGCAGAGCAGATTATCCAAGAGGCTGGGCTCTGTGAGGAGAAGCGTGGCATTAGGATTGGTGGACGATCTATCAACAATCTGCATTATGCAGACGACGCAACCCTGCTTGCTGAAACTGAGAAGGACCTCATGCACTTACTGCAGAGGGTCAAAGACTGTAGCCTTCAATATGGACTGAGGCTCAATGTCCAGAAGACAAAAATTCTCACCACTGGACCAATTGGCAGCATCAGGATGGATGGCGGAGAGATTGAGATTGTTCACAGCTTCAGTTTGCTCCGCTCCACGGTCAACACTCTTGGCACCAGTAGCCAGGAAATTAAAAAAAAACGTATTATGATGGGAAAGTCTGCAGTTAGGGACCTCTCTAAAGTACTCAAGAGCAAGGGTGTCTCTCTGGAGACTAAGGTCCGCCTGATACAGGCCATGGTTTTTGCAATCACTTGTTATGTATCAGAGAGTTGGACAATGACTAGGGAGGATAGAAGGAGAATTGACGCCTTTGAGCTGTGGTGCTGGAGAAGAGTATTGAATGTACCATGGACTGCCAAGAAAACAAATAGATTCATCCTAGAGAGGGTTAAACCAGGCTGCTCCTTGGAGACAAGGATTCTGGGGCTTCGCCTGACATACTTTGGACATGTTGTAAGGAGAGACAGGTCTTTAGAGAGGGACATCATGCTGGGCAGAGTGGAGGGACAGCGCAGGAGGGGAAGACCCTCCATGAGGTGGATTGATTCAGTGACTGGGGTACTCGGGATGGGTGTGTCGGAGGCAATGAGATTGGCACAGGATAGAGCAGGGTTTAGGGCTGTTGTACATAGGGTCGCTATGAGTCGCAAACTACTCGACGGCACATAACAACAAACAACAATTAGAATCAGTCAGTCTCAAGGAGTTGACAGAATATGAACTGTTACGTTTGAAGAAAAATGTCCAGCACTGGAAGTACTTACTCATTTATGCCAAGAAATTTGGAAGTCAGTTACCTAGCCAAACAACTGGAAGAAATCCATATTTCAAAGAAAGACAATTCACCAGAATGCAGAAATTTTGAAACATTATCACCACTATCCCACACAAGGGAGCACTGGTGGCCTAGTGGCAAGAAGCTGCACTGCAATCCTGAGGGCATGCGGTTCAAATCCACCAGCTACTCTGTGGAAGGAAAGATGAGCAGTCTCCTCCCATATGATTGTGGGCCAGTTCTGACTTGATAGTACATAATAACAACAACAACAACATCCCACACAAGAAAACTTTTGCTGAAGATATTCAATAACCAATGTCTCTGGGATTATAAGACCATAGTGTCAAGGAACACCTAGGTTATTTGACATAACATAGACCACAAAGACAAAGCTCTATACCTTATTGGGGGTCTTAAAAGTATGCAAGCACCCTCTAAGTTTCATTGATGTGCATCTCCCTGTCTAGAGGAAAAGTAAAGAGAATCTAAGATGTATGAACCAACAGATCCTGAAAAGCTCACTCTCTGAGTCTGAAAGAGCTAAGGAGTGCCCAGCTACCACTGCTGACCACTTGGAAAAGTTCATAGTAGAGGGCCCTGGACACAATAGGAGATGAATGTGAAGCAAAACTCCAAATCACAAAAAAACAGCGTTGGTGTCTGGTCTGAGAGAGACTGGTGGAACCTCCAAGACTGTGATGGCTTCATATCTTAGTCCTGACACCGAAAGAAAAAGGGGGAAGGGAGGAAGGGAAGGAAGGAAGGAAGAAGACTCCAATGGTCTTTAAATGGCCTTTAGTCATCCTTTGGAACTGTAACTGAACTCATCCCTGTGGCACAACTTTGAGCCAAACAGTAGACACATCTACAAGGTGAACAATAAGACCAGGGAAGGACTCAGTCCTTAGATCAACTAACCATACAAGATCAAAAGGGTTGCATTGGCCCAAGAATAGAATTCAGAGGGCAGCAAGGTAGATGACAGGTGGATAAGTGAAAACAAGAACTATGGAAAGGGAATAGCAAGAGTGCTGTTATAACTTAGGGATTATAATCAACATTGTAAAGCAAAATACATGTGAATGGTGGACTGGAATGCCAATTTTCTTTGTAAACCTTCACTAAAACCACAATTAAAAATCAATACATTTGAAAAAGAAAAAAACAAAGTAAACCTTCACTAAAACCGCAATTAAAAATCAATACATTTGAAAAAGAAAAAAACAAAGTAAACCTTCACTAAAACCACAATTAAAAATCAATACATTTGAAAAAGAAAAAAACAAAGTCAAACCCTAGTTGTATCAATTTCATGGACAGAGAAATGCCAGAAATTCAAGCTAAATTCAGAAGCGGACTTGGATAAAGGGCCACCAAAGCTCCCTAATGAGATGTATATAAACATATAGGAGATGGATTTAAAAGAAATCCTACCGATGTGGTTAACATGTCAACATACTTGGCTTCATGTGTTTCATTCTCTTTCAAATTTTAGAACTTGTTTTTCTATTTTAAAAGAGTCATTTATCATTTCATGTCATTTATGATTTTATAAAATATTATGACTACAAAGAACAAAAACTGATAAATTACAGTTTGTGGAGTCAATGTGGATGGTGTCTTATTTTTATATGATCCTCTAGATGCAAATAGTTCACACACACACACACACACACAACACACACACACCAGTTACAAGACCACAAAGCTGATTTACTATGTGTCCCTTTACAGGGTTGGGGCAGGATAAATTGTGATCTCCTTGTCTACAGTAAAATCTGCAAAAGAAGATTATATTTAAAGGAATACTCTGTTCTAGCCTTGTCTTCACCATTATATTCTCTTTCTTCTTTCACAGGTAGTCTTATTAGTCATCTATCTTCTACTACCAAGAAAACAAACAGATTCATCCTGGAGAGGATTAAACCAAGCAACTCCTTGGAGGCAAGGATTCTGGGGCTTCTTCGTCTGGCATACTTTGGGCATGTTGCCAGGAGGGACGGGTCCTTGGAGAGGGACATCATGCTTGGGAGAGTGGAGGGACGGCGTAAGAGGGGAAGACCCTCTATGAGATGGATTGATTCAGTGACTGGGGTAATCGGAATGGGTGTGTCAGAGGCGGTACGATTGGCACAGGACAGAGCAGGGTTTAGGGCTGTTGTACATAGGGTCACTATGAGTTGCAGACAACTCGACGGCACATAACAACAACAAACAACATCTTCTACCACAAGATGAAGTGGCACAGTGTTTGCATCAATGGACTAAGAAACAGTAACTCCAGTGCGGACAGCACGGGACCAAGTAGGCCTCATTCTGTTGCGCCCTCAGCAGGTCTCTGATTTCGAACTGACTCAGTGGTGTCCCAGACAATAGTCTCTGCACAAAACAGATGAAAGATTGGAGGTCAGAGATGAAAAATGGTGAAAAAGAGAGATAATTAGGTAGGTCTCATTGTGCATGTGAAGGACACCAGTCTTACCAAAAGCACAAAGGGCATGCAATCTCTAGGGTTTGCACTGATTGATTTTCAGTACATCAGCAGGCTTTTTCTTCCTGGCCTTAGACTAGAAGAACCACTGAAATCTATTTAGTATCATAACAATAACTAAGCTTTTTTTGAAACTCCAGCTCATATGCTTTGGGCATGTTGCCAGGATCGAGTCGTTGGAGAAGGACATCATTCTTGGAAGGGTAGAGGGATGGCGCAGGAGAGGAAGACCGTGGATGCACTGGATTGACACAGTAACTGGAGTAATGGGCTTAGGTGGGTCAGACACAGTGAGATCAGGATAAGGCAGAGTTCCAAGCTATTGTGCGTACACAGAGTTGCTATGAGTTGAAGGTGACTCGACGGCACATAATAAGGGGTGCACCACTGGCTAAGGCAGGAAAAATCTCTTCTTTTGTGGAGTTTATGTTCTCATGAGAAAGACAGAAAATAAAAGAGACAAAAAGTGATGGCTATACATGAGGTATACTGGCAGGGAACCAAGGTTCAGTCTATTGCATGTAAGGTAAAAATTCTACCATGGAGCCACCCTCAGCTAAGAGATGTTAGCTGAGGTGCTAAATGACAGTGGATGATACTGCATTAGGGGGTCATGTTTTTGCAATTTCTCCTTTTTGGGCAAAGTAGATCTCTGTAGCTTCTCCTTTTAGGCAAAGTAATCTCTGGAGTTTTTCCTCTTTTTTAGCAAAACAGTTCACTTTCCACCCTATTCCACCAAAAGTCTCCTAAAGCCTTATAAATTCTGATAGCTCTGTTCTCCACAGCATGGATCTACCCTGGGGATAAAGAAATCTTCTACACTAGATTCTGAAAGAAAGTTTGGAACCTGATCAACTGAGAGCCAGAATTTTAATGGGAAGACTTTACTTGAAGAAGAAACAAGTCATGGTGGAATTAGAGCAGGGGTCAGGGCAGGTGAAGAGATGGATAGATTTGGGGTGGAGAGGTGAAAGCCTTCTTTTGTTTTTCAAGTGGAACCATGAAGCTGACCTTTCTCTTTCTTTCCAGTTTGGGTGAGTAAGGGAATCAAAACTATGGAAAAGGGATGATTCTGAGATTCTGGGTACAGTTTGCATAGGGAACCTTACCTTGGCATTTCTATTCAAGAAGCTGATGCTGAATTTCTTGAGGTTTTCATATGTTATTTCTTCCGCTGGCATTTTGTACCTTATGTCAGAGGTTAAGTTTAGGATTTGGACAGATGGGACGTTGACCTCAGTGACCCGGAAGTACTCAAAGATACGACCATTTCTCGGTTCATCAGTGTTTACAAGGATGAAAAGGATCTGCAAATCAAATGAAATTATTTCATTTCTCTTTGGATCTGTTACCAATGGGGAAAAATATTAGGAAACTCTGAGAGTGCATTAACTGGAAACTCAAAACTAAGCCCATTGTTGTTAAACAGGCTATGACACATAGAAGCCCCATGTGTTACAGAACAGAACTGCAGCTTGAGGACTTCCTTGGTTAATTTTTACTAAATATGTCATCAGACCTTTATTTCCATGAAGTTATTAGGTGTGTTTGAACCATCAGCCTCCAGTTTAGGGCCTGAGTAAAAACCATTTGCATCATCTAAGATTTTCTGTAGAAAGATTAGGCAAGAAAATGCTATGAAACAGTTCTGCTCTGTAGCAAACGAGGTTTCTATGAGTAGAGGGGAGCCCTGGTGGCCAAGTGAGTAGGGAATTGTGCTGCCAACCCAAAGGAGGCAGTTCAAATCCACAGGCTGCTCCAGGGGAGAAAGAAAGGCTTTGAAAACCCACTGGAGGGTCAGCTATCTATGAGCAGGTTCCAAACAACCACACATAACAACATGAAGAGGGGCTGACTCAACAGCGATGGATCTATTTGATTACAAAAGTAAACTTTATGGACATAGATTACCAAATTGTGGGGTTCCCCTGGCCTCATAGTGACACAGGGTGGGTTTAAACCATGGCATTTTTAAACTTAAATTAAGTTCAAAAGACAGACATCATCCAAAGACCTTTAGGAGTACTCCAGTGAGATGCAAATGGCAGAGTCTATGCAGGGCCTCCTTGGGACTTCTTGAAGGACCCCTCCCTTTGAGCAGATGCAGCCCTACCCCCTAACCTGTGCCAATCTGCAGCGATCAGATTGGTCTCTGGTCCCATATGCCTCCTCCTCAGACCACTCTGGCTCAAGTCACCACTCACACAAACAAAGGAAGTCAGAGAATCCTAAGTTTGCATCCTAGCTCCTTGGCAAGACAGTAAGTCCTTCTTTCTGCATACCGCTGGGTAGGAGCCAACCCATAGCTGATCCTCTGTCCAGTTTACAGAGGCAGTAAACTGCACAGGAGGAGATTACCCACCTTTCTCCTGTGGAGCAAGTGGTGTATTCCAGCTTTGAGTTGACAATGCAACTCCTTACCACTAACCTTCCCCCCAAAATGAGTGACACCTTCTACATACCTTATTTTGGAATTCCTGTGATACCAACTTATAATGCTGAATTATGGAAGCAAATGCCTCTGAGCTTTTGGAAACGAACAGCAGCATGTGATTTAGGATGTTCAGCTCATAAATCAGTTCCTTATTCTGAAATCACAAGAGAAGCAGTTATTCTGCGTGTACAAAGCACCCATGCATATACATGCACGGACGCACAGACAGCAATTCAGCTGGCCGCTTTAACCAAAGGGCACTGTGTGCACTGACCTCAGAGTTGTATTCAATGACAAAGCCCGTGAGTTGCTGTTTAATGACTTGATTTAAGATATGCTCATTGGTACTGTCATTAATGAGTTCCTGGCGCTTCACTATTTTTCCCTGGGACAGAAAAAAAAATAAGAAGAGTGAGAAAAAGAATCATAAAAGTGAATAATCTTTCTCATTTTGTTGGTTTTTATTGACATTTTAATGAAAGTTTACAGAAAACTTGAATTTCCATTCATTCACTGTTGCACATTTTCCTCCCTCCCTCCTCCAGTTCACTTTTCTCTTTAAAAAGATTCTTTCATTATTGCACAATTTCCGCCCCCCCCCACACCCCACCATCCACTTTTCTATACACCTCTTATTCTGGGCTGTTGTCATGCAGATAATACCTAATCATGTATATCTTTTAGACAGTTATTTCCGTCATCTGTTTTAACGTAGTGTTCATTATTTATCGCTTCTTTTCTTAGTTTTCCCCCAAAGTGAGTCATTTCCATGATGTAGGCATTTAATAAACATAAACAGCACACTTCTCTCCATGGATGAAAGTGCTGAGAAACAATAGTGGAATATCGTTTGTAGGCTCTTGATAAGTACAGGCAGGCCACTGTTCAGGCTAGCGTATGACTGGTACAAGGTAAGTGGAAGCTAGGGAAATCTGTTAGATCTTCAACGACAGGAAGTGGAGGCCAGACAGATTTCCCCGTGCTTATAAAGTGTTCACTCCGAGATTAGAAAACTCTCCTAAGAGATATCTTAAAATTGCTATGGTCTTATCTTTTGCTTTTAAACCAAGACTCTCCCTGGAATTTCGTCTAGTGTAGTATATAAATAATGGACCCAACTTCAACTTGTCTTGTTTTGTCTTTTCCCACGTGGTTACCTAATTGACTCATCTCTGTTCATTGAATGATCCCTATTTCCCCACACTAATCTAAAATGTCATCTTTATTCTGTACTAAATTTACATATGCAAAGTCATTATACTTCACTATATATGATTCTGGTTAAAAACTCAAATCTGATTATCTTATTCTCTAGATTTAAAACTTTCAATGACTTCCATAATATGTTGAGGGAAAACAAAGTTTCAGAACCTTCAAAGCCAAGGTGATGTGAGATGGATACTTGTAAGTCATTGGTGTATAGATGGTATTTGTTGATGGATAGATGAGGACGGAAGAAAAAGGGGCCTGGAATGAACAACACTTTCCTTGTTAAAGTGAAGAAGTGGGATCTTCAGTGGAGAACAACTATTTCACACAAATCAACTAATTAGAGCTCCAGGAATGTAGTCTGTAGGGATCTGCATTACAAACCCAAACATCTTCTCTCTAGTAATTTGAACCCACCAGACGTGCCCTGGGAGAAAGAGGGGCAGGGCAATCAGGGCAATCTCATCCCACGTGATTTATGACCTCTGAAAACCCACTGGAGGGTTAGCTCGGAATCTTTTCTTATTCCACAACGATGAATGCAGTGAATTAGTAAATAAACCAGAATTCAGCTGGCTCCCAAATGGCAGAATTAGAATCTGAACCCAAAGCCCTTCTCATGGCCTTGAGCTAAAGATTCCTTCACTCTCAAAAAGTTTTTTTCCAAGTCCTACCTTTTCGAAGACCAGGACACTATCGAGGGTGACATGGAAACGCCCAAGTGTATTTGCAATCTTCATTGCTCCAAAAGTTAGCTCTGGGAAATTTTTTATCACCTCATAAAACAGTTCTGCTACTTCTTCCTCTAAATCCTGTGTGGAGGAAGGAAATTTGATAAGACTTTGGTAGAAAGGCAGACTTTTAGTTTATTTAAAATGAAGTTAGAAATAGTGACTACAAAATTTTAAAAAAATAAATAAAAATAAAATAGGTAGATAGATAGATAGATAGATAGATAGATAGATAGATAGATAGATAGATAGATAGATAGATAGAAATAGTGACTACTTTATAGCCTCATTTTCCCAAGTCTCGCGTTTGTTAAGTCTCCTTAACCCCTTGTGCTGGGTATTTCAGACCCAGAATGTTTCCCTGGCTGTGACTTAGACCAAAACAGGGAAACTCACAGAAATCATTGGGAAGCACTGATGAATTTAACTTCTTACAATTGTTAAAGTGAAGGCTATTCTAACCCTCAGGTTGAAGCAATTGAGTAGTTTCTCCATAATTGTTCTCAGAAGAGGGAAATGGTTTTAAAAAACCACCAAATGGGATCTTAGTTCCAAGATGTGGCTATTGTGTCAGGTTCTGTTCTTTAGTTTGAAATAAAATTGAGACAAAAAGCATTGTTAGTAACTAGAAAGGGGAGATACACATTTGTATACATTCTTTATGTATAAATGTAACATATATTCTGTGACAGAGAAAAGATGCATCATCACCATTACATCAAATGAGTTAAGATACAAGAGAAACTCATTCTTCAAATGCAAAGGTGTCATTTATGTTTGCATCAATATGTAAAATATGATCAATAAAAAGCTGTCATGAAACATTTCAGTAGTGTATCTAAGACTTGATGACACATGACAACAACAAGCTCTTTACATTCTTCCACGTCCATTTTTCTTTGCTATATTTTGGATGATTGGAGAGGGTGAAGCCAGGCCACTCCTTGGAGGCAAGGATTCTGAAGCTTCATCTGACATACTTTGGACGTGTTGTAAGGAGGGATCAGTCCTTGGAGAGGGACATCATGCTTGGGAGGGTGGAGGGCCAGCGCAGGAGGGGAAGACCCTTGATGAGATGGATTGATTCAGTGACTGGGGAAATGGGAATAGCTGTGTTGGAGATGGTGAGATTGGCTCAGGATAGAGCAAGGTTTAGGGCTGTTGGACATAGGGTCCCTTTGAGTCACAGGCGACTCGATGGCACACAACAACAACAACAACCTACTTTAGATGAAGATTAGTGTGTTTTCAAAAGTCAGCTTGTTTATCATGTGTTATGGCTTTCATTGTATGGGGATGGTTGGTGTGAGGTTAGGAAGAAGCCTGCATCTAGGCATGGGACACAGCTGTCAGGATAATAGAAAGCAGTAGCTCTCAAATTGGAAAACAAGATATACTTTCATTTAATGAGAGGATATTCTAAGTGGACCCCCAAAAAGGGTGAGTGGCATCCACTTCCTAAACAACATGCCTCCAGAAACTCTATGAACTTTGATAAATGTCGATAGTTGTAGTGGTGCTTCAGGCCTTTTGTTCATAGTTGCTATGAGTCATGCTCAACTCGAAGGCAATCAACAACAACAACAATGGTCAAAACCAGTTAAATGAATATACCAATGTCTTCATCTCTTTCTTGGTTCCCATGTACCTTTTTTGTTTCTCCTATAAATTGTCTCTCCATTTTATATTCTTCCTTTTAAATCCTTCAGTTCCTCAGAAAACCAGTTCATTGAATAGAAGAGAATAGGCATGACATTAACCCAAACAGAAGAACTCCCCCACTTCACCCCTCTCTCGTCAGCACAGGACTCCTGGCCAAGGGAAAGCCTCCCCAGACTCCTTGACGCCAGTACCTGGAAGAAGCCAATGATGACTAAAGGCCTGGAATTGATAAACTCTACTATCTCCTGGGGGTTGTTGAACAAAAACGCTTTCTTGCTGATTTGTCTTCTTAACCAAACCACCAAGGCAGTAGATTCAACCACATCTGGAGAGAGACACAGTTCATCACATAGGAGTTTCTACTTGAACCAAGGCAAGAATTCATTTGATAAATATCATTGTCTCATTTTGGGCTTCCATCACTTTGAAGGGCAAGGTCAGTTCTTCCACCTTCCCTAACCCCAAGGCATAGGCATTCATGACAGAAAACAAATGTTACTGAGCCCTTCAAAAGGGGAAGGCAGTGAGCTGCAGGTTCTAAACGTATTCAGTCCACACAATGACCCTATAAGATATGTATTTTTTAATTTTATTTATTTATTTTATTATTTTGTGTATGTGTGTGTACCGTCAAATTGTATCTGACTGGCATAGGAGGAGATTGCCCCTCCTTCTCCAGTACAGCACCTGGTGGTTTTGAACTGCTCACCTCTGGGACTGCAATGCAGCTTCTTGCCACTAGGCCACCAGAGCTCGCTAAGCTACTTATTCTTATTCTCCTCATTTCACAGATGAGAAAACAGAGGTTCAACTTGCCAAAGCCACCTAACCAGTGAACCTGAGACTCAAACTAGAAGGAAATATGTCCAGCTTTGTTTTCTTGTCTACCCTCTAATGTCACAACTAAATAATTTTAAAGTAGAAATAAACATAAGCAAAGAGACCAGGTAAATTCTGTGATCCTGGGGGGAAACCAGTTTCTAAGCCGAGACACAAACATCCTCTAACATTGAAGAATCTTGACTTCATTTCTCAGGTATCCTAAGAGGGCTGGCAGGGACACCACAGCTTCTAAAATTGGGACACATATATCATCTAGGGGGAGATAAATGGTACGCTCAATTTACATGAGGCCACAGGTGAACGAACATGAGTTGCATTGGGTCATCAGTGTCACATGGTGGCAGATAATGCAAAAAATACCACTTTATAGTAACACCTGCTAAAGAACAAACTGGAACATTTTAATGAGTCTATAAGATAAAGTGCTTTTTTAAAATTTTTATTATTGTGTGTGTGTGTGTGTGTGTGTGTGTGTGTGTGTACCGTCAAATTTGATCTGGCTGGTACAGGAGGAGATTGTCCCTCCTTCTCCAGCAGAGCATCTGGTGGTTTCAAACCGCTCACCTCTGGGATTGCAGTGCAGCTTCTTGCCACTAGGCCAACAGAGCTCGCTTAAGTGCTATCTTTTTAAAATTTTTATTTTATGTTGGTGTTCGTGTAAAGTTCATACCCATTGTGTTCCACACTATTCTTCATTCACATTGTGTTTTATACATTCTCATGCATCATTATTTATAAACTTAATCACCATTGGACTGTGCCCCTCATTACCCTGTCTTTTACTGTATTTTTAACAAACAGTGTTTGTCGATTTGGGCTATATCCACAGACTTTATCCATTCTCTTTCTGATTTATTCCTCCACTCACTCATTTATTCAACAAAAACGTCCTGAGTGCCTATTATGTCCCAAGAAGCTGAGTTAGTGCTGGGGCTGATGGGTAGAAAGAGACACCTTATCACTCTCCTACGCTTGTATTGATGGAGACAATCACCAGACAGTTGTAGAGGCAAGTGTAATAATCGCACCCAAGCTAAATATTCAAAAGTCAAGGTCACTGTTGTTGTTGTTGAGTGAACCACAACTCACAGCAACCCTGGGAACAGCAGGTCTGAACCTTGCCCTCCCTATTTCGTGCCATCTGCATTATCCCCTCGATGCTCAAATCCATTGCTGCAATCACTGTGTCAATCTATTTTGTTGAAGGTCTTCCTCTCTTTCTCTGACTTTCTCTTATTTCCTAGAAAAATATCTTTTTTCCAGGGAGGAAATATTGTCCCTCCTGACACATGCTCTAAGCATGTGAGACAAAATTTCACTATCCTTGCCTTTCAGGAGCACTCTGGTTGCACAACCTTCAAGAAACTAAACCTAGATGATTATGAGATCAGGGAGCACTTCCTGGAGGAAGCATCTTTTGACTAAAGGATGCATAGGAGTTAACCTGGAGGCAAAGGAGAGGGAAGGCCTTCCAGACACAAAAAATAACCATGCAAAGAGGTGGCTGAGCATTCTTCTGGCACCCTACCTCAAGACTTCATCGAGTTCCTCACACTTTCTGAAAATACTCTTCCTTTCTTTTTTTATTTTGCAAACTTGTTTAATGTAAATTCACAAAGCTCTTCCTGGATCATTCTAGGTCCCCCAGAAGTAATTACAGATGGACTGAATGAATGAGGCAAAAGAAAACCTAAAGCTGGCTTTGAGATAACTTAATCTTGGGCATCTTCTCAGGGATGAGTGAGTTCTGTCTGGCCCTCTGGTTCCCCCAGCACTGAGGGAGCTGCTCTGAATTTGGCAGATTATTGTGTTCCAGAGTGCCTGCCCTTGCCAGGCGCAGTGCCTCCCCTGGCTCTCGGCTCTGAGCCAGAGGACAGGGTGACAACTGAGGCGTGAACGCTGTGTCAATAATTGACCAGGGACAGTGCTTGGCTGTGAATTCGCAAGGCCAGGCTGTGAATGCGTGAATGCATCATTAATAGAAGCCCAGAGGCAATCCAGTCTCCCTCTCCCTACAAGGAGGCGGAGGGCAAGGCCAGCATCTCCCACACCAGTCCTTGGAGATTAGAGGCTTTGTCTCAGCAAGGACGAAATTCCCCACCTCTGGAGGATAGTTTCAACACAAGTCACATTACAAGAACCAGGTCAGCCATCAGCTCCTCTCAGCTCAGAACAGCCCTGTCCAGGGGGCAAAGATGCTGCCATTGTTCATCCTGATTGTTGGTGGTGTTGTTGTTGTTATGTGCCATCAAGTTGTGACTCATAGCAACCTTATGTACAACAGCTCTGAACCCTGCCCTGTGCTGAGGCAGTCTCCCTGACTCCGACACACCTACTCCCATTGTCCCAGTCACTGTATCAATCCATCTCGTCTGGGTCTTCCTCTCCTGCGTTGTCCCTCCAACCTTCTGAGCATGATGTCCTTCCCTAAGGATTGGTCTCTCCTGGCCACATGTCCAAAGTATATGAGACAGAGCTTCAAAATCCTTGCCTCCAAGGAGAAACTTGTTTTCATCCTCTCCAAGACAGACCTGTTTGTTCTCTTTGGTCCATGTTACATTCAAGACTCTTCTCCAGCACCACAACTCAAAGGCCTCAATTCTTCTTCTGTCATCCTTAGTCATTGTCCAGGTCTCTGATGCATAGCAAGTAATTGAGAAGACCAAGTCCTGGATCAACCATACCTTAGTCTCTAGACTGACATCATTGTTTCTCAGGAGTCTGGAGAGGTCCCCGACAGCAGATTTACCTAATGCAATTCGTCTTTTGATTTCCTGACTGCTGGTGCCAAGAGTGTTGATTGTGGAGCTGAGCAAGCTGTAGTTGTTGTTGTTGTTGTTGTTGTTGTTGTTGTTAAGTGCTGTCGAGTCGCAAGCGACTCATAGCGACCCCATGAAGGAGAGTCCTCAATGCTTGGGTGCCTTTCATCCTCTCTCCAGGTTCATAGGGTTTCGAGCAAGCTGTAGAGGATGAGAAATAGGAATGCTAGGACTCCAGGGCCTACTCCAGTTACCACAGCTCGTGCAGGCAAAAGCTTGTCCTAAAGCCAAGGCATCCTAGGTCCAAGTCCAGGCTCCAGACTGGTGTTTCAATGCTGCCTTCCCTGTTGTCAGCTCCAACTCATAGCTCTCCTATGACCAGCTGGTTAAAAGCTTGCCCGATCCTGCTGTATCCTCACGGTCTCCACCATGCTTAAGCCCACTGTCACACTCACTGTGTCATTCCGCCTTCTGGAGTCTTCTCTTTTCTCTGACTCTCCGCCTGTCCCAGCATGCTGTCTTGTTCCAAGGACTGGGCTCTCCTGACAACAGGCCCTAAGTATGCGAGATGACGTTTTGCCACCTTTGCCTCTACAGGGAACACAGATTGCACCTCCTCCAAGACCGATTTGTTAGTTCTCTTGGCAGTACAAGACTTTTCATCACCACCACCATGCAAGGATCTCACTCTCTCTTCAATCATCCCATTTCATTATCCCTCACTCAGTGTTCACATGCATATGAAGAAATTGAAAACATGGTTTAGATCAAGTACAGTCCAGTCTTTAAATTAATATCCTTGCCCGTTTCCATTTTAAAGCGGCCCTTGGGTGCAAAGTTGCCCAGTGCAATATGTCTTTTGATTTCTTGACTGTTGCCTCCATGGGTTGATTGTGGAACCAAGTAAAATCAAATCAATGACAACTTCAATCTTTTCTCCATTTATCATGACTTTGCCTGTTGGACCAGCGGTGAGGAGTGGCATCCACTGCCTAAGCATCATGCCTCCAGAAACACCATGAACTTTGATAAATGTTGATAGTTATAGAGAGGTGTCAGGCCTTTTGTTCATAGGGTCGCTATGAGTTGTGCTTGACTCGAAGGCAATCAACAACAACAACATGTTGACGTGTAAAAAGCTATAGACTTTTGTCCACTTCATTAAGTGCTTCAAGTCTTTTTCACTTTCAGTAAGCAAGGTTGTGTCATCTGCAGATTGCACGTTGTTGATTATTCTTCCCCTAATCCTGGTATCATATTCTTCCTCATATAGTCCAGCTTTTCAGGTAATTTGCTCAGTATGCACAGTGTCTTATTTTCTTGTTCTGTTTGAATGACTGCTTCTTGGTCCATGAAGATTCCGCATGAGTACAATTGAGGGTTCTGGAATTCCCATTCGTCATCCATAATTTATTATGATCCACACAAATGTCTTTGCGTAGTCAGTGGTGTTGTTGTTGTATACCGTAGAGTCAGAACCAAACCATAGCTGAGTCTTCAGCAGGTTTTCAGAGGCAGTTGATCACACAGGAGGAGATTACCAATCTTTCTCTCGCGAAGCAGCTGGTAGCCTTGAACAGCGTGCCTTTGAGATTGCAGCACAGCTTCTTGCCACTAGGCCACCAGAGCTCTCTAAGATGCCTTTTATTAAAAATACACATCTTTTTCATGTTCTCTGCTTTCAGCCAAGATTCAAGTCATGTCAGCAATGATGGTCCTCATTCCATGGCCTCTTCGGAATTCAGCTTGAACTTCTGCTGTTGTACCGCTCCAGATGTATTTGAATAACTCTGGCAAGACTTGATTTGTGTGATATTAGCAATATTATTTAATGATTTTATTATTAAGTTGTATCACCTTTTTTTAAATAAGCACAAATATGAATCTCTTTCCATCCATTAACCAGCTAGCCGCCTTCCCAATTTCTTGGCATAGACACAACAAGCATGTCCTGAGCTGCATCTGTTTGCTAAAAGACTTCAATTTCTATTCCATCAATTCCTTGAACCTTATTTTTAGTGTTGCTGACAGTGCAGTTTTGACTTCTTCCTTTAGTTCTACTGGTTTTTGATCCAGAAATTCAGTATTACTTGTTACTGAGTCTAGAAATGGTAGAAAATTTCCCACTAGGATTTCCAAAGCTGGATAATCTTTAAAGAAGCAGATTTTCGGATGTTTCTACGTGGAGTGGCTAATTAGTTAGAACCATCAACTTTCTGGCCTTTTGGCTAGCAGCCGAGCACTTAATCACTGTACCCGCCAAGGCTTCTTAGCCTTTTCAGAGGATCCAGAAATGGGCATGAAGTCTCTACCCTTATGGCTGTCTCATTCCATGGATTAGAAAAACAACCAACAGATAGAATCCTGTGATGTGGGGAACTTTCTGGGAGAAGCACAGTTTCTGTGGGATCACAGAGGAAGGCCAGTCAGGGGAGACTTCCTGGAGGAGGTGAGAATGAAGCTTCCTAAGTGGCAAAAGAAATCTCAGGTACTGACTCCCACCACAAAGGAGCTTAGAGGCCAGAGGGCTTATGGAGCTTCTCCATCAGCCCCATCTACAGCTTAGAAGCTGTCTCATCAACATCTTGCTTCCTCTACGAAAGCTAGTTCTCAACTATCTTATGGGAGGCAAGCCTGGTCTCTTTCTCTTATCCCAGCGCCCGAGTTACTACGTGAGCATATACAGACCTTGAAAAAGCAACCCAGTGCACACCCATGTTTATCACGGCTTTGTTCACAATAGCAAGGAGTTAGACGCAACCTAAGTGCCCATCAACAACAAAATGGATAGAGAAGCTGTGGCATATTCACACAATGGAATACTATGCTGCATTGAAAAACAAGGAACTCATACAATATTATTCCAAATGGGTGACCCTGGAGGGCATTATGCTGAGTGAAGTATCTCAGTCACAAAAGGACAAATACTGCATACTGTAGAATGGGACTGACATCGGGGTTGGGGTAAGACTGAGAAAGATGGGTTCAATAATGTATACTGCATTGAAACAGATAAGGGAGAAACGTGTTTAAAAATATGTGGTTAGGTATTTTTGGCATGACAGGAGTCCAGAGCAAAGGCTGCATAGTGGAGTGGACCTGGGGGAGGTTTGTTAAACAATGAAAAAATTTGTCTTTACTTTTTCAAGAGGGTATTGTATGTACTAGGGAGGGAGGGTTGGAAGGAGAGAAAAGTGCAACAATGAATGAATGGAAATTCAAAGTCTGTAAATTTTCATTGAAATTAATAATAAATTTTTTATAAAAGTAACCCAGGGACTTCAGAGCTCTCCCCAAAGCCGACACATCACAGAGTGCTCCTTGGTGGGGCTCAGTGGGTCCTCTTTGTGAGGGTCAGCGTGCAGGGTTCCTAGGAAGTAATCAGTCTCTGTCCCTTCTCTCTGCTCCTGACCTCTCCCCTCTATTCCTCCTCCTTCTTTCCGCCTACACACACTCCCCACCTTCCTACAAGCTTCCGGGAGCCATGGGCCGGTCCTGTCTCTCCCATGACTTGCCTTGGAGGTCCATTATTGATGAGTCTTCTCCTCCAAGTCTAGCTTGTATCTTACATGCCCCCTAGTGTCCATACTGGGAATTGTAAGGCATCCTGCCATGTCTGCGCATGATGGTGTTTCTCCAGCCCTATTGTTTCTTACAGCAATGCTCAGCTCAACTGGGCCTCCTGGAAGCTTTCTATGGACCAGGCCCTATGAATGGCAGTCACAGCTTCCTATGGTTCAGTCATTCAATACATAGGTACTGTGACTGTTACCTGTTGCCATCAACGGGACCCTACCTCGTGGTGGTGACCCCATTATGGCTTTCTTGGAACAGAAGTGGATGGCAAGGCTTTCTTATGTAAAGCTTCTGGGTGGGTTTGAACTGCTGATCATTAGGTTAGCAACTGATTGGCGACAGTTTGTGTCACCTGAGTTTCTCACACACGGGGACACTCCGCAAGCACAGGAGGCCATGTCTATGCTCACTAATTTTATTACACTTACTCACATGCATCCATTTCTGCATTTCTCTATTTCAACATATATTTTTAAAAAAACATTAGTGTCTACATGAGCCACACTGCACTGAAACACACGTAATTTTAAGAGCAACAAAATCACTGGTAATAAGAAAGATGCATAACAAAACCACAATGAGATACCATCTCACTCCAGTAACTGTGGCAAAGTTTAATAGGACAGAAAGCAATACATTTCGGAGAGGATGTGGCAAGATAGGAACTCTTAAGTACTGTTGATGAGATTGTAAAATGGTACAACCACTCTGAAAGGCAGTTTGGCATTTCCTCAGAAAGCTGAACATAGAAATTCCATATAACCCAGCTATTCCACCGCTAGGAATATACTCCGAGAAAATGAGAGCTGAGGCACAAACAGAGACTTGTACACCAATGTTCACAGAAGCATTATTCACCATTGCAAGAACATGGAAACAGCCCAAATGTTCAACCACAATTGAATGGATTGAGAAATTATGGTACATTCACACAACGGAATACTATGCAGCACGCAGGATCAATGATTTTATAAATTATTACCTAACTTTGGAGGGACTGGGGAGCATTATGTTAAGTGATATAACTCAGTCCCATAAGGACAAATACTGGATAAGACCATTATTGTAGAATGTGTATGAGAATCCAAGCGGGGGAGCAGAGGTTTGAAGATGGGTGCAGTCGGGTCTGGGGGGTGTCTAATCATAGAGTTGCACAATTTGATGGATGGAAGGAGGGGTAAGTAAAGGAATTTGGACAGATCCAGTGTGAAAAACAATGTATTCAAACTTTTTAAGTAAACCAGTATAAAATAAAAATTTTCTTTAAAACCCAACAAGGTAAGTCTTGGCATGTGGGAGTCTCTCAGTAGATTTTGTTGTTGTTGTTTTGTGCCATCAGTCAGAACTGAGTCATAGCTGACCCTCCAGTGGGTTTTCAGAGGCGGTAAATCACACAGGAGGAGATTGCCCATCCTTCTCCTGTGGAGCAGCTGGGGGACCATGCGCCCTTGGGATTGCGTGCAGCTTCTCACCAAATGAGCAGTGATTAAGTAAATGAATACATGGATGATAGGAAGCTCTGGTGGCCTGGTAGCAAGCAGCTGCACTGTGATCCTGAAGGGACATGGTTCGAGGTCAGCAGCAGCTCCGAGGGAGAAGAATGGGCAATGTCCTTCTGTGCAGTTAACTGCCTCTGAAAACCCACCAGATGGTCAGCTACGGGTTAGTTCCAACTGTACAGCATACGACGACAACGACAACGACAAGTGGATGAATGGATGAGAGGGGCAACGAGAGCCCTTGAACCTTTGGTGGATGTATCCCAGCCCAAGCCTGTCTTGTTCTATCATCTCTCCTCCCTTCTTTTGACATGGCTGGGTGTCATGTTAAAACTCATTCTAAGGAACAGATAGTGGTTGGAGTTGGGCATTTGTCAGCAGCTTTTAGCCATGCCCCCCACCTCCTGGTGCTCCTGTGACCTGCTAGCCATGGGAGAGACAGTTACGTGTTCACCAAATCCTAAAATAGGCAAAGCACTGGCCCCACTTCCCATCTTTCCTATAGTAGAGAGCAGGCTTCAGAGCCTGATCAATGGAATGGAGATGCTCACCACTTCCAGCCTGGGGCAATGGGCACCTCTCCTGGAAAACCTCTCCTCTGGGCTCTGAAAGATGGGCCAAATCCAGAGAAGTGAAGTGCTGTCACAGCCCTTGGAAAGGGCAGAGCCAGCTCAAGAGGAACCTGGGGCCTTGAAAGGTTCTGTGGCATAGACTCCCCCACCTCCACCTTTGACCCGTCCACTAGACTGTATGTGGGCAAGAGATGCACTTTCTGAACTGAGTAAGTCCCTGGTGGCAAATGCTGGTTGGTGTTGATGTGTTTCCACAACTCACATACCTTGATTCACTCACAAGCCCCATTACCTTTGCAGCTGATGGGATCAGATCTGTTGCCTTCAAAAAACAGCTTCAGCTCCGGGGCCTTCTCTATATAAAACTCCTCCCGAAGCTCCTTCTCGACAGTGATGTCCACCTTGCCGAAGCCCAGCCCATTCTTGCCTTTGCCCATAATCTCCATGGCTTTGCCCAGCTCCTCAGCCAAGTTCCTGGATGTCTTTGAGGATGCGTTGTCTGCAAACAGCCAATGTGAAGACAGAACTCGTTAGAACTCCTTTGCTCACCCCCGTCATCCGAGGAAGAGTCTTTGGGTTCATCAGATCCTGGGCCTCTTTTTGGTGCAGCTGGTAATTGCTAATTTTTTAAGAAATGTTGACAGTTGTGACACATGGTAACTTATGAAATTAGATAAACATCAGCATCTACACATTTGGGGGTTCAAGAACACGGGGAACAATACAATTTCAGACAATGTACTGGATCTCTCCCAAGTGTCTATTTCAAAATCAAGGCTACCCCATGGAGCTGTGAGAAGTAATAAAATTCACTTAACATTCACTCTTAACAGTGTTTCTATTTTTTTTTTCAATTATCTAAGGTTTTCTTTTATTTAAAAGATAATTCACAAAATCCCATATCCACAGATTTCCTTTCTGTCATATAGCTGAACGTGTAAAGTGTTTAGAATCCCACTCTTACATTTGAAAGTCAATTGGATTACCCAGAAGTTTAGATGATTTTATTTTGTTCTTCATAGTTTCCCTCACTGAAGGTTAAGGAGGTCATCTGAAAGCATCAGGTTTGATTACAACCACATAATGCACATCTTCCTTAAATGGATGGTGTTACCAAGTGGTTCTTAGCTCAGAAGCAGAGAAGACAGAAAGGGAGAAAGGTGGGAAGTAGAGTTCTGTCATCGCAGAGACCTTGTAACACAGACACATCAGAAGCCACGGTTAGATTAGTGGTGTGCAATAGCACAGGCCAAGTTGCCTGCCCTCAGCGCTCTGCCCCAGCTCAGCCAGGGTCCTTTCCTAGGACTCGAGCTGCTGGCTGATCCAGCACTGCTACTCCCAATGGGACAGATTGGGGCCAGAGGGTTAAAAATCATGTGTGCTACTCACCAGTGTCTCTAACTCGTTGAGAGTTTTACATTCACTGATTCGTTTAATCTTCTCAGGAACAAGATGGGGTAAATCAAACCAAAGCTGTTGCTCTGGAGTTGATTTAGATTCCTATCAACCCCAGAGGGCAAAACAGAACTCCTCCTTGGATTTTTATGGCTGCCCCTTGGGTGCAAGGATTCTGAAGCTCCGTCTAAAGTACTTTGGACGTGTTGCAAGGTGGGATCAGTCCTTGGAGAGGGACATCATGCTTGGGACCGACGGCCATGGAATCAAAGTGACTCAGGTTTCTGGGTCTGTAAATGACATTGGAAGAGACTGCCCATCTTTCTCTTATGGAGTCCCTGGTGGATTCAACCCATCAAAGAAGAGCCTTTGGTTTCACAGGAACATTTGAAGCCACCAGCGCTCTGTAAGAAGCCTTGCCAAGCTGTATCAAACAGGCCTTGTTACCGAATCAGAACTGCCGCATAGCTGACCCTCCAGGGGGTTTTCGGAGGCCGTAGAGCACACGAGAGGAGACTGCCCACCTTTCTGCCTGGAGCAGGCGATGGATCCGAACCGTCAGGAAGGCCTGGCTTTCAGCTAGCAACGCAGTTCTCTCCCCTAGCCAGGGAATTAACCTGCTCAGTGTAGCTCCAGGAGTCCCCTCCTATGGGATTTATTTCCTCAGCAGCCAGGTGGAGGGTCAGCCGTGAGACAGAGCTGACTTGACGGCGATCATTCTGTAAATGAATCCTTTAGCAAATAGTGTGTATGTGATACTATTATTGTCAGGGCGGTCTGGCGGCTTAGTCCATAGGGAGTTGGACTGCTAACCCAAAGGCCATACCTCTCTGGCAGTTCGAATCCACCATCAACTCTACAAGAGGAAAGATGAAATATTTTCTCCTGTGCCGTTTACAGCCTCTGAAAACCCTCTGGAGGGTCAGCTGTGAAGCAGTTCCGACTCCACAGCAAGTAATCTTTTGAGTTATTATCAAATCTGCCAACTGCTCCGTGGGAGAAGGATGGGCAATCTCCTTCCGTGAGATTAACTGCCTCTGAAAACCCGCTGGAGGGTCAGCTGTAGTTTGGTTCTGACTCAACGGTACACAACAACAACATTGTCATGTTACATACAAGTAATCTCCTGGAATAAAAGGATCTCATTTCTAAGCCTGTCTTTAAGCCAAATATGTAAGTAAATGGCAACAATTAGACTGGTTTCTAAGTTAGCCAATTGATTGTTCTAGTAAATAGTAATTTACTGCATAGAACACCTTTCTATGCATAAAAAAAAACAGTAAAGAGGCTCTTCCAGATCCCTCAACATCTTTAACATAATATCCTAATAGTTATCATCATGTTTTGGTGCATGGTGCAAATAGTATACATTTGTTGAACACCGTTTTTTGTACTTGGAGGTTGGTTCTTAACTATGGGATGAATATCTGTGATCGTGGTCGCCATCTAGTGGACAGTCCTGGAGATAAAGGACCAGATTGAGGAAGCTGCAAGTTGGCACTTCCACTTGTTGTCAGGTGCACTCTGGGTTTTCAGTGGCCTTGACCTTTCAGAATCAGGCTGGCAGGCTTTTCCCCCCACGGCTTTTCTGGATGGGTTTAAGCCACCAAGCTTTTAGTTGGTAGATAACTACTCACCCATCTGTACATCAAATCAAATTTGATACACTAGAGATTGGTCAGAATCGACTCCATGACAACAGATTCTGTGCTCTGTGTGTCTGTGTGTGTGTGTGTTCCAGTTTCCATCTATCTACACAGTATGGCCAAGGGTTTTCATGCAAGGAAAACTGAGAGAAGTGACATTCCTGGACCCCTCAAATGGCACAGAATAGCAACTGGGGAGTTCCCTGTTAGGGAAAATAGCCTCTGAAAGCTGGCAAGTGACTTTGGCAGAGGGAGAAGCCTTCACACCTTAACTGGCAGGGAACGAAAAGACTTAAGTTTGCCTTTTGTCTTCCTGGTAGCATTGTGAGCCTGCCTCCAGCCTGCCCGGTGTTGCCAAATGTGTGCCGACCATGGGTCAGGCTGCATCAAGGGTCACTGACTCCCTTTCAAGCCAGAACGCTTTATCAGATCTTTCCTGCTGGGGTTCTTCGAGAATATGTGAGTGGCTTTCCCAGCCCAGGGCCAGCTCCAAGTGCAACAGAGGATTGTTTCTTCTGGCAAAACACTGGTCATCCGACCACAGAACAGTCCCCACAGCCAGCCAGCCCTCTGGTCCCTGCAGTAGCCCCATGAGTGAATGAGCACTTTCATTATATTTGCAATCGATGCACAGGAAACTGGAACTCCAGCTGCCCCTGTAGATCACTGCCCCTCTGCTGCCCCTGTGTCACCATCACGGCCCATGGTGGCCCATCCATCACTGCCAACATTAATGACCTGCTGCTGGCCCCCTCGCCTGCTGGCCTCTTGCAACTCACTTGAGGGTTTGGCCAGACCAACTCTGCATCGCTGGTTGAGTCTCCTCCCCAACTCCCTAGCACCCTGTGAGGGTAAACAAACAAAATAAATGTCATCAGATCAATTCTGATTTTTTTTTCTGTTCTGGAACAGATTGCCAGGCATTTCCTCTGTGGTGCCATTGGCTGGGCTGAAACTACCAGATTTTGGATTTGTGGACAAGTACAAAGTGTCAATCTAGACATTAGTCTAGATCACTACAGGTTAAGAGGGACTCCTGGAATGATGAGTCATACATGGCCCTGCACCCACGTGTCCGAAAGAGAAGTGGAAGAAAGAGCTGTGACGATACGAAACTGGAGAATGGAGCATCAAGGTCTAAGACTTCCTAAATACACTTGGCAATAACAACAGTTGTTGTTGAGTCATTTGCAACTCCTAGAGACCCTATGTACAAGAGCCCTAAACCCTGCTCTAGCCTGTGCCAACCTCACTGTCTCTGACACACCTACTCCCACTGCCCCAGTCACAGAATAGATCCAACTCATCCAGGGTCTTCCTCTCCTGCACCGTCCCTCCACTCTCCCAAACATGATGTCCTTCTCCAAGGACCAGTCCCTCCTTGCAACATGCCCAAAGTAGGTCAGACGAAGCTTCAGAATCCTTGCCTTCAAGGAGCAGCCTGGTTTCACTCTCTCCAGGACAAACCTGTTTGTTCTCCTAGCATTCCATGATATATTCAACACTCTTCTCCAGCACCACAGATCAAAGGCTATCATCCCTAGTCACTGTCCAGCTCTCTGACACATAGCACCCAATTGTGAAGACCATGGCCCGGATCCGGCGCACCTTAGTCTCCAGCCTAACGTCATTGCTCTTCAGTACTCTGGAGCGGTCCCTGACAGCTGACTTTGCCAATACGATTCATCTCTTGATTTACTGGCTGCTGGTACCAAGAATGTTGATTGTGGAACTAAGCAAACTAAAACTTAACAATTTCTTCACCATCCATAATAACGCTGCCAGTGGGCCCAGGGTAGGAGTTAATTTATTCACTCTTTCAAAAATATTTTCTAGGACCCATCACATGCAGACACTGTGGCAGATGCTAGGGATAGGCTGTAGCTGTGGGACATCATTAAGTCATTTGCAGCCCACAGCAGCCCTGCATGACAGAGCAAAACTGGCGCGTGGAGTTTCCTTAGTTGTAGTCCTCAGGGAACCATGTCACCATGACTTTCTCCTACAGAGCCAAAAGGTACAAACCACCAGCTGCCGAGTACTTAACCTTCATACTACCAGTACTAGGGACACTACAGTGGAAAACTAGATAAAAAGTCATCTTAGGTCGCTTGTAACTTGACAGCACATCTTAGGAAACATCATCTGAGGAAAAAGAAGATAAAAATCAAATATAATGCTATATGGATGGTATGTGACAGACAACAGCTAATCGCCGTGGGGTTGGGACTACTCATCGCTGCCCCTCCAGCAGGTTTTCAGAGGTTGTAAATTACATGGGAGGAGCAGCTGGTGTTTTCGAAATGCCTACCTTTGGGCTGGAACCACAACTCCTTACTTACTAGAGCTCTCTACAGGGTATGAGCTAGGAACAAAAAATGGGAAGCGGGACTTGGGGAGGATTGGGAGGCGGAGGCATGAGGGTTACAAGTTAAGGCAGCAAGGTTAAAAGAGGCCTCCCTAAGAAGAGGCTGTGTGGTAACGACACAAGCAGGTGAGGCTGCCACGAGGTTAACTGGAGGGAGGGCATCCAAGCAGAGAGAACAGCGAGGCAGTGGCTTCAAACCTGCAGTGGTTCTGACGTGTCTGAGGGGTCTGAACCCTGGCGGAAGAAGACAGCGACCTCCCAGTGGAAGAAGGTCATTGAACAGAGTTGGACCTTTCCTCTGGGTGACATGGACAGCTCCTGCAGGGTGGGGAGCGGAACTGTGACACAAATAGACAAAAGCAAAATGACAAGTGGAGATGAGACTGAAGGGGGGAAGGTTGGGGGAAGGCCACCAGTTGGAGGCTGCAATAAGAGTCCAGATGCAAGACAATGGCATCTGGTCACAGCAGCTGCAATGGAGGAGTGGAGATGGGGGGACACGTTCAGAGTCTAATAAAATTTTCAAGCGGATTTGCTGAAAACAGCACATCCTTGCGGTCTCTAAGGAGTCCTAGGGTCCATTGGTTAATTAAGCATTTGGCTGTTAACCAAAAAGCATTTTGAACCCACCAGCTCCTCTCTAACAGAAAGATGGAAGCCCGGTGGGCAGTTCTACTCTATCCAGTAGGGTCACTATGAGTTGTCACCGCCTCCACGGCGATGGGCTGAGTTTATTACTATGACTTGGTGAGGAAACCTGGGTCATGCTCAAACCAGGCTCTCAGTGGGAAGGGAGAGTTATTCCCACCAGATCTTCTGACTGGATCCCAAGGAGAGGAGGACAAGGGCAGCTGGTACCAAGTCACCTGTCCCCCAGGGGATGGACGTAAGTGTGTGGCTCTCCTGTGGGTTTCTGGGTAAGCAAACGGGTCCCAGCGTCATGTTGGAATAAGGGCTGGCACTCTGAGCCTCTCTACCTGCTGTGTAAATGTGTGAATAGCTAATGGGCCTAGAATCAAAGTTTTCCTGGGTCACAGCAGATAACCCCTGGGTCCTTTTGCCAATGTGACTGGGGGGAGCTGATGGGCTGGGCAAAGTGGTGAGTTTAGGGATTGAGAATTATAGCTCTCAGCAGCTCCGGGCACAGGCAACTGGCGTCTGCCTTCATAGACTGGTGGTTATCAGTGGGGCATTTAGCAATGTCTAGAGAGATATTTTTTTAAATAGGCAAAAGTAAAGACTTTAATAATATACATTTAACTGCCATTACATTTATATAAACTTGTATCACTTCTCATAGATTCCATCATACACAAACATACACATATGTGCACACTCATTCATTAGAGAATTTTTTATTAATGATTTTTAATGCAACATATATATTTTTACCACATATTCTTTCCATTTAATTTCCCTCATTCATTCATTGTTGAACATTTTCCTCCCTGCCCACCCCTCCCTCCCAGTTAGTTTTTCTCTTTGAAAAGAAAAAAAAATTTTTCATTTTTACACAATCCCCCCAAGTCCACAGTACACTTTACTATGCATTTCTTTTTCTGTAATCTTGTCATGAAAATAATACCTAATTCTATATTCCTTGTAAACAGTTCTCTCCCTCATCTGTTTCAATGCAGTATACATTATGTATCCCTCTTTTCTTATGTTCCCCCCAATCTTGATGTCCCATTTTACCACAGTGGCTCTTATGCAGTCTCGAGACTTAATTTTATTGTCTTAACTAGGGGAATGAATGTTACTGCCATCTAGTGAGTATATGACAAGGGTGTTACTAAGCATCTTAGATTTCACAGGCTAGCTAAACACAAATTTTAAAAAAATCTAGCCTTGAATATCAATAGTGCCGAGGATAAAAGATCCTGCTTCAGATAGAGAAGTGTTCTGAGAACGAGCCCCCATTCCAAATGGCCATGTACAGAGTAGAGGGCTTCATCTCAGTAAGAGAATTAATTATATCCCTCCCAATCAGTGTTAATCAGGTCAGACAACACGAGGGGAAGTGATCACATCACGACATTGCCAAATCACTCAGAATCAAAATTCATCCAAGTTGGCACATATTTTTCTGGGGATATAATTTAGTCCATGATGAGCTTAAGAGATTTACTGATGATGATCAAAGATTGCACCCAAGAACTATGGGTTAAATCCCTGCTATATGTATGGTAAACAACCCTGCTGTGGTTGTTGTGTAGCATAGACTGGGAACTGACCCTCAGTTGGGTTTTCAGAGGCAAATGGTCACTTGGGAGGAGACTGCCCATCCTTCTTTCTTGGAGCAGCTGGTGGATTCTCTTACTGGGGTGACACCTCCCAAGAAATACAAGAGAAAGAAATATGGGTTATTCCTTATGAGAGAGAGAGAGAGAGGGAGGAAGGGAGAGAGAAGGAGAAGAAGAAGAAGAAGAAGAAGAAGAAGAAGA